TTTAAAATGGAACATTACTTTAAAGATTTTTTTCAAAATAATAACAACAAAAAAGATAAATATTAAAGTGCAGAAGCAACAGGCTGTTAAGATGAAATGCATATGGCTGCTGCATGTCTGGAGGTGAAGCATACCAGTTATATGTAAAAGTTGCATTATTTGGAAATGACTTGCAATCTTGCAATGTATAAATCATTACAATAAAATTTTGGCCTGTTCCTCAGACAAACCTATAGGTTTAATACAGAGAGTATTGAAACCTGTTGTAGACACACAAGTCATTTATTGACAGTTTTTTATGGTGCTTTTATTGAGTGATGGGGTGGTCGCAATAAACTGTCATTGTATGGAAATTATCTGTGATCCTTTTTTGCATTAAAAATTACATCATATTGGGTTAACTATTCCTTTTAAGACATTTAAGTGTAATCTGCATGCATAAAACTAACTACAAATGCTTGCAAGTGACTTCTCTTTAGGACATATATGCAATACATTTCTTTAGGGATTTAGTGATGGCATTCGGAGTTATGTCTTCAGTATTGCAGAAGGGTATTTCGAAGGGATAGTTTGCTATAACACTAAATATTTCACAAAGAGAAAGTGAAAGTAGATGTGGTGTGGTATAAATATTCTGCAGGTCTGTAGCAGTGAACATGGAAAGCCAAGCCTAAGTGTGGAAACTATCAAAGACATGGGCAGCTATGTCAGCTCTCTGGTAAGTTACTCCAATTTCATTTTGAAAATTTGCAGTATTCTTTGTACAGGATTTAACTATGGCAAAGTGTGTAAAACAGCACCGAGGGTATGTAGTGGAACCAAAAGCATGATTAGATTAACTAAAAAGGTTAACATTTTACCTTTACAAAATAAAGCTTACTTAAAGTGATAACTGAAGTAACAGAAGTGGTAACACTTTTGATTAGGAAACACATATTCACTATTAACTAAGATTTTTCCCTCAATAAACTCCTAATTTGTTGCTTATTGATAATAAGTAAGGTAGTTGTTGTAATAGTTACGTTTAGATATTGGGTAGGGTTAAGGGATCTAAAATATGGTCATGCAGAATAAGGCATTAATAGGCTTTATTAGCTCTAATAAACAGCCAATATGCTAGTAATATGCACGTTAATAAGCAGCTATACAGTGAATGGTGTTCCCTAATCTAAAGTGTTACCAAAAAGTATGTAATATGACAACAAAAATAGCCTAATTTTTAAAGGTCAGATCAGGTAGAAATAGGTCAAAACAGCACATTTTCACTTTCACAACCATATTTAAACCTCTTCAAATTATAATAACGTCCAATTATTATAATAAGGAAAACAGGTTGTACAAGTTTCTGTTAAACAGGTGGCGTTGCGTCCGGGTTCAGGTGTTTTGTATGTGCTTTGTTAAATAAATATAGTGTTGTTTTACTCAAGATGCCTTCAAAGGAGCTACCAAAGATGATCATAACTGATGTCCATCACATATGCATATGTGCCCATCACATATGCTTACATTTTGATATTAAAATGTAATAAAACACCAACAATGAAAACAACTTGTTAGCTGATTACCTTAAAAGTCCATAGATATTTAGAAAAAAAAAAAACTAGAAATAGCCTAGAGTAGATTAGAACAACATTTTCATTCATATGCATACTACTTTGAAATAACCTTTGATTGGTAATGTGCTTTGAAGGTGGATAAGATCAGCTCATTCTTCTGGTGGATAAGCAGCAGTTCAACACCTGCAAACAGTCTGACAGCCAATCAGAATCAGACGGAGACATCAGAGAGTTCAAACGAAAGTATGAACATCCAGCTTTTCTAGTTCATCCACTTAGCTCATTATGTTTAATGGATGTTTTGTACATACTCACTTAGTGGAGACACTTGACTGAATTTGTTCTCATTATCTGAAACACCTTTTGATCTTTTGATTTTGAATAGTAGTGTATGAAATCATTCTATAATTTATTGCAGGCATGACTGTGATTTAGATCCTGAAACTGCAAAATAATAGTGAAGTTAGTCAACATGGATTACAATAATTGACTTACTTTCTTAATACACATTCATGGTCTTGTTGTGCACAATTCATCAGTGTATTTTAATACACATAAAACAAGTTCGGCTTTTAACAAAAAGCATTAATTTGCTCTTTTCAGATGACATCCAAGTCACAAAACCTCCTCACACATTGGTGTCTGAGGTCCAGGAGGGGAGCAGTCCTGAACAAACCACTGTAAACTCACATTCGGGTCATTCTGGTATGAAACGCCTACTTTATAACTCTAACCCTATACAATCAATTCCCAATGGATACAATCAACTCAAGTTTTTGTGATCTTGATGTTATTTAATCATTGTTTTGCTCTCTTATTTCAGATCATCCTCACATCCCACCACAGTACTGCTCAAACTCATTCACTGATCTTGATGAAATCGCCAAAGTGGACAAGATCAACCTCAATGTAAAATGTGCTGGAAAGACCATGGAAGTGGACGTGTTCCCACTGGAAAGTATCTCCGTTTTACTAAAACTGGCCTGTGAACGGGCAGGGAAGAAACCAGGGAAAATGTCGCTGGTTTATGAAGGTAAACAAAGCATTCATTCATTGTTCTTGAGGTTGATCTGATGCAGACCATGTCATTTCTATTGAATCATGAAATGGATTGGCATGTAATATGAACCACAAAAGCAGCAACTAACAACTTTTATGTATTAAAAACTTTAGTTTGATGAGTGGGCCTGCATATCATTAATTGCTAACCTTATTTATTTTTAGGAAATCATCTGGATGTGAGCAAGACAGTGAGTCACTATGGACTACGAGGAGGAACCACCGTACATTTGATTCATGCCTAGGAATCATATCTCACAAACAAGTTCTGTTATAATACACAAGTACACTACATCAAATATTGTAAAAACGCATTGTTATTATTATTATTCAGTGATATTATGTCCTCTTTTGGTTTACATTTCCAATATAAACTGTTTATTCTATAATTACTGTTATATATACACTGTAATATTATTTTAATGACTTTTTTTTTTTTTTACATATGAAATATATTTTGAAAACACTATATAAATAAAACTGACTTCACTCAAGAGCAACACTGACTCACATATATAAGTTCATTAAGACATAGTAGCCTATTTTTAATTTTATATCGGGACACTTTATAGCTGAGAACAGTTGATTGATTGTTATTCAGCCATCATGGACTTTCTCTGACTGTAAAGTTTGAAAATGTAAACAAAGACCTTTTAATATTTTAATATTAGCGTAAAGTTCTGCCAATGACATTTATATGGATTAAATTAATATGGATTAAAGTAAGCGAATTTGTTAAAAATGGATGAAATTAGTTGGAATTTTGTTTCGATTCAAGCACATGCCAATAGTGTTCGAGTGCGGGTTGTAACGGAGCATTTCATTGGTTAGACGCACGGAATGGACACGCCTCTTTTACTGAACAAGCCCACTAGAGCAATAAATATCCAGCTGCAGACCCGCAGCACCAGCAGTCTCAGAACCGTAGCCACAGAACCGGAAGTGAGGGGCGGAGCTTCCGTTCTTAACAGAGTAGCGCCACCTTGCGGTTTTTAAGGGGTAATTTGCTTTTATTACACACGATACGTCATACTTTATGCATGAATGCATTTTATAATGATATATTAAGCAATTTATAAAGATTAATCTTGTGTAATTTAGTTGTAGGTCTATACAGTTATTCATTTCATTGTATTATGCGAGTTATTTCCTGTTTGTTATATTAAAAATAATGTTTGAAACTTCTGGGCATTTTATATGAAATATACTTTAATCACAAGATTCAAAATAAATGTTTATTTCAAAGTCAAGAACACGTACATCATACATTTTTCTATATGAAAACTAAAACATTTCAATAAAACACACACACACACACACACAAACAGCAGCATAATTTCTATATGCTCATATAGAATATGAGCCATAATAGTCATAATTTAATATATATACTTTTGGAATTGCTTTTATTACATTTTATTACATTACATTTATTACAATATACTTTTGGAATTGCCAGTCTGCTGTAAACAAAGCAGATTTTATTACTTCTATTACAAGTCATTC